TTCTTCTATTGATGAATTCTTTTCTTCTTTCTCTTCTTCTGATGATGATAAACTTTTTTCTTCTATTTCTTCTTCACTCATTTCATTTTGTTCTTCTTCAGGTACTTCTTCCTCAATAACTTTTCCTTTATTAATTTTTTCTTGAACATCTTCACTTTCTTCATTAACTTTTTCTTCAGCTTCTTCTCCACTAACACCTTTATAATCAATATCAATTCCAACTTTACTTTGTTGTCTTTTTGCAATTTCATTCATTAAAACTGATTTAATTTTTTTAGTAATTTCTGTTGTATTAAAATCAACAACTTCTTCATATTTATCAATAAGAGTAAGATCAATAGTGTATTGTCTTCTTCTTTGTCCTTCATGAACAATGATAGAATCTAAACATTTAATTCCTTCTATAATATTAGCTAATGTAACTTTAGTTAATAATTTAGCTAATTTTTCTGTATTTTTTTGATTTGGTTCTTTTAAATAAAGAATCATTGATGGTGTAGCAATTTCTTTTTTAGCAAACATTACTAATTCTTTAATACGAGGCATACCTAATGTAACATTAACATCTCCTCTTCCTGCTAAATGGAATGTATTTAATGTCATTTGTGTTGATGGTTCTCCAATAGATTGACCTGCTAAAACACCAACAGGTTCTCCAGGATTAATTAATGATTTATTATATTTTAACATCATCATAACTTTAAATGTTTCTGGATCAAGTTTACCACTTTTAAATTCTCCTCTTTTATCTTCTTTAATATAATCATTAATTAATTTATAATACTTTTCACTTACAGCTGCAAGATTATTACTTGGTGAATAAATACTTTGAACTGGTTCATATTTTTCTGGATGTCTTAAACATTTCTTTTGTAATTTACATGCTCTTGAAAATCCTTTTTTAAACTTTGAAAGAATAGCTTTTGTTTCATATTTTGAAACTAATGCATCATAATTATTTGCCCAAAAATCAATATTATTAAGAAATCCACTTTTCATTACATCAATTCCATCATCTCCATACATAAATTCTATAATTGATCCATCTGACTCTCTTACTGAATAATCATATTCTACATGTAATGATTCTAACATTTTAATTACACATCGTTGAAGATATCCTGAACTTGCTGTCTTAACTGCTGTATCAATTAATCCTTCTCTTCCTGCCATACAATGGAAAAAGAATTCTTGTGGTGGAACTCCTGTAAGAAATCTTGATGCAATAAATCCTCCTGCTCTTGCTGATGTATCATATCGTGGGAATGATGGTAATGTTTTACCTGTTGCCATAACTGGTACTCTTCTTCCTTCTAATTCTTGTTGTCCAAGTAAACAGGTAATTTGTGAATGATTAACTTTTGATCCTTTTGCTCCTGTTGTTGTCATTAATGCAAGACTATTCCATGGAAATGCTCTTAATTGTCCATATGGAATACATTCTTTAATTACATTTGATGTACATTCATTAACTTCTGTTTTAACTGCATCATCAAGTTCTTTTGAAAGTTGTGGTCTTCTTCTAGCATTAGCAAGTGCAAGATCAATATCATATTTAGAATGTCCTTCTAATTTAAAATGTTTAGCTATAGCAGTACGTGCTAATTCATTTGTTTTATTTAACATTTCTGTTCGTTTATTATCAAATTCTGGTTTTAACATACAATCATCTAATGAACAGGTATGTCCAATTCTTTGTAAATATGTTGTTAATAATCTTGATAATAAAGTAAGACACATTCCTGAAACTTTACCATTATATAATTCATAAATTGCATGAATTAAACTTTGATTCGATGCTCCAATTTGATTTTTATCTAATGTTCCTGTCAACATTTGTGAATCTTTAATTATACATAAACTATCATTAGCTCCACTCCATTTCTCTGTAAATTCATCTTTTTGTTTCATTAATTTTCTTTCTTTTTTTGTTTGATATCCTCCTCGATTAATTTCATTTGTTGATACTTTACATTTTCCTTCAAAATTAATTGTACAATGATTTGTACTAATATGCATTAAAATTGCTGTTACAACTTGTTTTCCTGTCCATTTTGGTATTGGTTTAAGAATAGCTGGCATTGGAATTCTAATAGAATATTGTTCATATATTCCATATAATGCAGTATAAACAATTTGACAATATTCTTCTTTTGTAAAGAATGTATCTCGTTTTGTTAACATAAATGATGAAATGACATGATCTTGTATAAGTCCTCTTAATGGTTGTCCATTCTTTGGAACAACATATTGTTCATCTGATAATGCAATATTCATTATTTCACTTCTTGCTTCCATACTTTGTGGAAGATGTAAATTCATTTCATCTCCATCAAAATC